TTGGGTTTAATCAAGATAATGTTTTACAACAGGAAGGAAATAGCCTTGAAAAATGTCTTTACACAAACCTTCATGACATTATATACTAGGTATTTTGTGAACAGATTAGCTCTCTCTATTTTTATATGGCAGTAGGAGAATAAAATTCTTTAAATAAAACAAAAAATGGTTAGAAATTTATTTCACTGCTGCTTTACTTTCTCCTGCGTTTTTTTTTAACTTGGATCAAAAGGTTACCTTAATATTTTGAATAGTCTGTTAGACAAATAAGTGTTGCATAGTTAATAGAGTAAGTATTGTGTTCCAGACACTGGGTTGGACATTTTATGTACATTATTTTATCAAGTTCTCTTCCCCAAAATAACTATGAAATGGGTACAATTATACTCATTAAATGGATTGAGGAATGCAAGATTAAGGGTGTGGTGACTAGGTTCAAAACCCAAAACTCCTTATTCCCTAACATGTGAGTTGAATCTATATCCTCTTTTTAAGTTTTATTTTATTCTTGTGACAAATATAGATGAAATCTCCCCTCACTTCTCACTTGTATGGAGAGTGGGACAAAAGTAAGTTTATAGTTGAAGTTTATAGTTGTGAGTATGTGAAACACAGAGTTTATTTTTGTATTATTTATGAATTATTGTATTATTGTTCAAAGTAGCAACTGTAAATCTACTTTTGCCCCACCCTATGTAGAATTAAGTAAAAACAACATGGCTTTACACATTTTTGTTTATAGTAAAGTCTTTATAGATAAGAGTACTGGTTCTACCGTCACACTCATGCAGAAGTTACATAGCAATAGAAGCGAGAATCCATAGATACTAACAGAAGAAACATAGGATATGACAGGAAACCTTAAATACACATGTTGGAGTCTTGAGGTAAAGAAAGGTCAAGCTACTGGTTTGGATTAGAGGGTGAGGTGGCTTGGTCAGTCTGTGTGCTAGCAAGGGAGCAGCACAGCTTTGGACAGAGGCATCAGCTCACAGCTGTGCCAAAATTGTCCTGAAGATTTAAAAACTGTATTTTGGAAGAAGCAACAAAATTTAAAAACAGAATGAACTTTCAGCCTGACTGGTGTAGCTCAGTGGATTGAAGGTGGGCCTTCGAACCAAAAAATCGCTGGTTCAATTCCCAATCAGGACACATGCCTAGGTTGTGGGCCCGGCCCCTGGTGGTGGGTATGTAAGAGGTAACCACATATTGATGTTTCTCTCCCTCTCTTTCTCCTTCCCTTCCCTTCTCTCTAAAAATGAATAAATGAAATCTTTAAAAAAATAGAAGGAACTTTCACATTGTGTTTTTCACATTTGCAACACTTACAAAAATATTTCCCAGCAAATATATATATGTGTATGTGCATGTGTATACACTCACTAATAAATAGCGTATAATAAATGCCATTATAATTAGTCATGAGAAATACGTGAATGTAGTGAAAAATTAGAAGACTGATACTAAACTCTTGCCAGTGAGATGAATTTAAATATAACACCCTAAAATATTTATTGAAGATTAAGGTAGTTTGGGGTAAAAGTGACTACAGAATTAGAGAAGCCCAATATTTGGGCAAGTTGTCTTCTAAGCTTCAGTTTCTTTATTTGGAAACTGGAGATAATGCTACTGCCAAACTCAGTGAGTTACTGTGAGCAGTAAATGAGAAGATAAGCGTAATATATCGGGCTCATAGTAAGGAATCAATAAATGCCATCATTATTAGTACTGTTGTTGACGGCAATTAGTACTGTTGTTGACGGCAATGCTTTGATTAGGAAGGTGAGGATTATATTTTTTTAATTGACTGCAGGTGTCAAAAGAATCATCAGGTGGCTTTCCATGTCTGGGGAGCCTTAATTTAGTTTTATATGACACCAGACACTTTATACTGGACTGAGATTTGGGAATAATGTGCAGTTATTTTGGTTGCCTATAAGATCTGATCAACACGCATTTCTACTATAGGAAAGAGTGAACTTGGTTGTAGGATAAAAACTTTGCTTTACTGATCCCTTGAAAGTTGAATCAGTAAGATTACCTGCAACCATCATACATTGTCATAAATTAAATGATCTCTCTTGCATCTGAAACCTTGTCTGCCATGTCACATGCTGTCTGGTATGTGCTTTAAAGTGGAGGAATTAGGAACTAGAAGAGATTATTTTTGGATTCGATCATGCTTAGTCTTCAACAAAACAAAACAAAACAAGACTCTCAGTTTTGCAGAATAAGCAATTAGTTTTAAGTTTTCTTTTTTAAGTAAACCACTTGGCATTCTGCTTTGGAGTAGTTCAGAAGTTCACTTAAGTTAATATAAACACCCCAACTTCTCATTCTTTTGTGGATTTAGCTAAGCTTTTTTTTAATGTTTTGAAGAGAATATTTTACAAGAAATATTTTTAATAGTATTCCTGAATTTTGAAAAAAAAAAACACATTTGAAGAAGTTTGCTAGTAGTTACTTTTCTGTTGGCTCCATTTCTGTACAAATCCAAATAAAATATCGCCTTGAGGCAAGAAACACTTGAAGAATTTTCATTTCATCAAGCATCTGTAGTATGATGGAAAGAGTTCAAAATTTGTTAGAATCCTAGTCTTACCACTCTGGGCAAGGTAATTAACATTTCTGGGCTTCATGTACCCTATTTGCAGAACTGTGGAACTACTCCTTGCTGAAAGGGTTATTGTAAGGATTAAAAGAGACAATGTCCATAAAATGCCTATGATAGCATCTGGCACGTAGCAGGCACTAAACAACATTTCTCATCTCCCCTCTCCGGTATCATTATTGAAAATTTTACCAGTGGCTTGAGATTGTTTCTGTTTAATTCTGACTCTTCATAATTAATAGTATTTGGCAATTGATTCCAAACATAAAGAAGAAATCTTTTAAATATAACAAAATTATATTAATTCAGAGTAATTAAGGCAAAGTTTCTGGCTATTAATTTTTGCAATTTAGAATATTTTATGAGAATTGGGGGCACAGCATTGTATAGAAGCCAGATTAACAAAATGTTACCTATATCTTTGCTTTAATGAATGGATAGCTTTGATTTGCTAGCCAACTGATGATTATATGATAATATTTTTTGTCAACTCTTTTGAAAATAGCTGTTTTCTTAATAGTTTAAAATCTCCTTGTCATTTTTTCCTTTGATATTTTGTTAGAGCTATTTTTTAAAACAGTTACTAACTTCTGGCTGACTGATCCCAAATAATAAACTACTGGTCTCTAAATTAATAAAAATTTTAATTATTGTGAGTTATTTTATAATTTGAAGTTATATTTAGGAAATCAGAACTACATTTTAACTATGATATTTCTTAGCCATGGACAAAATTTACACTCTCTCTTTTCTACATTTCTCAGGATATTGCAATATTGAACTGGCCAAAAAGTTTTTTTAAATAAAAGACATATTTTCATTTTCACTAATAACTGTATTGATTTGAATATTTTGAGTATGTTGGCTATCTCCCACATGGTATAATGTTGATTGTTCTCAGTTAATGTCTGGATTTGACACCATCAACTTCAGCTGGTCTACCCTGACCATGGAGCATTGTCCAGTGAGAAATCTCCAGCGCAAAACTTCGCGAACCACTTTTGACATATTGGATCAGTCACAGCACCTTCTCCATACACTGCACAAATATTTATTTGCATTTCAGTTGCATTTTTACCTTTCTTAAAATAATAAAACATAATATACTGAAAATGTTGCTTATTTTCTTCCATCTTCAGTATTAAAATGGCTACATAAAATTCACCAATTTTGATAAGTTTTTAAAAATGCATGCTGATGTGATAGCTGTCACAATAAAATTTAACAAAGTCATTTTGAATGAAGTTCAAGACAACTAAGCGCCACTAGAGGCATCTTACAGAAAAAAACAAGTGAACTTTTTGGCCAACCCAATATCTTGGAACCATCTATAATCAGTGCCTACAAATAAATAAGGATGGTTTTTTCCTTTCAGTTTATCTTTGTCTTTTATTATCACTTTCTCTGTTTTATTTTTCAGTAGTTTATAATTTCCAATTATATATTCTTAATCAATGATCTTGTGATGATACTAATATCTATAGGTAGAAAAACTAAGCTAAATGGAAATTAAGAATATTTTTTCCTCTTTAGATATTTTTGAACCTGAAACTATCTTACCATTTCTCTGGATGAAGGAATTTTTTTTTCTAATTTGTTGAAACTACAGTACTTTCCTCTTATCCATGGGGGATACATTCCAAGGTTGTTAGTGGGTGCCTGAAACTGTAGATAGTACCAGACCCTAAATATTCATTTACTATATTTTTTCTGCACACATATACCTTTCATTTAGAAGGAGCACATAGTGACTTCATTTTGGCACATCTAATTGCAAGCGTCACTGTTACACACTGGGGCCATTATTAAATAAAATAAGGGTCACGTGAACACAAGCACTGAGATAGCTTGATAGTCATCGGATAATGGAGCAGGCTGATAAGTGCCCACAGGGGGAAAAGCATGTACAGCATAAATAAGCTGGAGGAAGAGATGATTGAGTCCTGGGCCAGACAGAGAAGGATGGTGAGAAATTTCATCATGCTACTCAAAACAGCATGCAGTTTAAAACTTAGGAATTTTTAATTTGTGTAATTCTCCATTTTTAATTTTTTCAGACCCTAGTTGACTATGGGTAACTACAACCACTATAAGCAAAACTTCATATAAGGAGAGGACTACTGTAAACAAACAAATGGGAATTTCTTCCTGTTTCCACTTATGTTAGTACTTCCTTTAGGAACAATGATATCACTTAAGGAATTTGCCTCTGGCTGTTCCAGTAAGGACTGGAACTAAGAAAGAAAAAAGCTGAGCTAACTGACCAAAAGCTTTGACTTTTTGAGTAGACTTTCTGGCTGGTTTTGAATTATGTAAGAAAGTAAAAATATTCCACAATAACCGAGTTTTTTTATTTACTTTTAATTATTGTGTCTTCATTTTCTTTCAGAACTCTTGATGTATCAGTGAGCTTTAATGGAGGAAAATCTGTCATCTCAAGCTCATTAATAGTCACAGCCACAGAATGTGTAAGTAAAAAGAATGCATAAGTTTACCATTTAAAAATAATTCTATCCAGAAATAATTTATGGATTCTCAGTGTTGTTGCGTGCTATAATAAAGAGTGTTCAAACAATAAAGCTGGAGATCATTACAAGGAAAAATTTGTATAGAATTTATTTTAGGTTTTGTCCCCCCTGTAGCTGCCTTTACAGAGATCTTATTTTGATATTTATAAAATCTAAGTCATTTAAAATAAAAAATTTGTAGGTGAATGATTTCCAAATGAAGAATTATCTTTTTAAACATTAAATATAAACAGAATAATGCTTTTTGTTATGAGGTTGAATTATAGTATCTAAGACATCCTGTTTTTGAAATTATTAGTGCATCTTAATGAGTGAACTTATTATTTTATCCATTTTAATGTTGGTGCTTTCTCATATGAATAAGGAATTTGATTTTGATAGCTTGAAAACGTCTTACTTTGAAACTGCACTGAAACTATATTTTAGTTGAGATTATTGATTTACATTACCTGTCAATGTTTTGAAATATAAACTCCATCAATAAGACACTGTTTTCCTTATAGTTAATTTTTTGGGTTTATGAAAACATTTGGTATTAGATTGCTGAACATGAAAACAGAACAGTAAAATGGACTGACCACGTGGCTATTATTTTATGAGTATATTTTCTTTGTAAAAATACATATAAATCCAAGCACAAAAAAACCCTGCCCTTCAAAAAAAAATTCCTAAGCTAAACTTTTCTCACATCTCATGTCTTGATAGTTTCCCATGTTAATTTTTAACTTGAGAGACATTGGTTCTCCAGAGAACAAACAAAACAACTCAATGTTGCCTGTAAAGAGATAGTTGTGTTTCCCATTGTGAGAAAACATTACAGGGAAAACAAACATCTCTATGGACTCTTGGGTCGCTGTGGAATTCTCTGGGTAGCTCTTTATCAATACTTGTTTCTATTTTGAAAATATTTTCCCCTCTTTTCATCTGCCATTCATGTTGTAATTTATAGGTTTTGTGTTGCAATTTGTAGGTTTTCTGGTCTTTCAGGATGTGGTTGAGATTACAAAATCTTGTGATAGATAGTGTTTAGCTCACTGAAATGGCATTTTTTTCTCCATCCTTCTTCCTATTCTGCACCTCTGCCTGTCTTTTTTTGTTTCAAGCAGGAAAACAAACCTTTTCGGTATCACGTAACCATACACAGTTGCAGTGTGTAGGGATGCTGGGGTTAAATGACTCATCCGGAATTTGCAAGTTATGTGCTGTAAGGAGGTCTTCCTAGATCTTGCTAGTTCTCAGGAAAATGTAATGTGACTTAAGGTGGTTTAAGAGTAAGGTAATTTTGAGAAAGGACATTGGTTTTGTCAGATGGAGAGTGAGTGAAAGGACAAGTTGTAATGTTAAATAAGGGATCAAAGGAATTATTATTGAAAAGATATTAGAAAATAAGGAACGTGAGGTGGTGAACCCTGAAGATCACCCAAGGGAAGAGTGTTTCATGCAGAGGGAGCAGCTAGAACAAGGTCTAAGGCAGGACTCTGTTTGGCAAGTTTAAGGAGGAGCAAGGCAGCCAGTTTTCTGGAGTGTCGGTAGTTGCGGGGAGTCAGAGTCCTGAGATGAGTGGAAGAGAGTGGAGGGAGGGAAACAAAGTACGTAAGGCCTTGTAAGTCATTGTGAGGACTTGAGTTTTTCTTCGGAGTGAAACAGGGAGCCACTGGAAAGTGACGTGGTATGACTTAATGTTTTAAAAGAGTCATTCTGGCTCTTATGTAAAAATAGACTTTGCAGGTAGGGGCCGAAGTGGAAATTGGAGACCAACTTTGTGGCTCTTTACAGTGATCTAGGCGAGGGGGGTATTGCTCCACCGTGGGGATGACAGTGGAGATGGTGAGGAGTTGCTAGATTGGATTCAAATATATTTTAAAGTCGAGCCCATGGGATGGATACCTAGACAGAGTAGTTGTGGTGTAGACATGAGAGAAAGACGTGAAGAACAGTTTCGAGCTTTTTCACCTGAGCAGATAGGGTGGGTTGTCTTCAGGTAGAGCAGTTTTTAGAAGATCAGGATTTCTGTTTTGAAAATGTTGAGTGAAAGATACTTACTTAGTCATCTCCCTTGAAATGTCAGAAAGGGAGTTGAATACACAAGCCGAAAGTGCTAGAGAGAGCTCTGGACTGGAGCTCTGGATCGGCCTTACCTGAAGGAAGATCAGAGGCACACATTTGGGAGGTGTTGTATGGAATGGAGTAGCCAATCAAATTCCACCTGGCTTTTAACGAGGAAGAAAACTTTCGGGAGATAGAGCAAGAAATGAAAGAGTATAAGAGAAATGTTTGTGTTTATGGAGGAATCAAGAAAATAGGTTCTTGAAAAAAGAGGGGAGGGGAAAGCATTTTACAGATAAATAGCTAACAGATATTGAGGGTACATATATTTGATTGGAATGAAAATAGTGGAAGGAATGCTTGAAAATAGAAAATTTAGACCAAATTATCAATAGCCTGAAAGTAAAGTTTGGAGTTCATCCTACCAGTCTGTGTTTTCTAAATTGAAGTAAACAAAAATGTCAGTGTTGTAATGAAAAAAAAAAGAAAGAAAAGCTCCCACATTCACAATCCAAGGACCCATCTGTGTGTCCCCTCTTGTGTCTGGATGACAGAGCAGAGTATGAACTTCCGCAGTGGAACCATGGCAGGAGAGGCATTTAGAAAGCTTCTTTCTCTACTTGATTATTTATTCAAAGGAGTGCAGCTGAAGCTGTGACCAAAGGAGGCATTATGCATTCAGAAAAGTCTCAAGGAAAAGTGTTGCAACTACCAGTATTAGCTGTTGGAGCAGGCTGTACAGGCAAGGGTGGAAAGGTTTAACCAGTTGGCATGAAACTTGGAGATAAAGTACTTCTCCCAGAATATGGAGGCACCAAAGTAGTTCTAGATGGCAAAGATTATTTCTTAGAGATGGTGACATTCTTGGAAAGTATGTGGGCTGAAATAAGTCATTATTGAAATGGCAACATGTGCCCAGCTGGTATAGCTCAGCTGGTTGAGCGCCAGCCTGCAGACCAAAGGGTCACTGGTTCCATTCCCAGTCAGGGCACATGCCTAGGTTGCAGGCCAGATCCCCAGTGGGGGTCTGTGAGAAGCAACTTCACATTGATGTTTCTCTCCCTCTCTTTCTCCCTCCCTTTCCCTCTCTTTAAACATAAATAAAATCTTTTAAAAAAAAGAAATGACATCATATGAAGCTGCCCATTCCGCTGAAGTTCTGAAATCTTTCATCATGTAAATAATTTTTGTGTATCTTTATAATTAACCAGTGATATCCAAACTAATAAAAAGGAATAAAGATAGATACTTTTTGTAATGCTAGGTTTATTCAACATGAAAGAATATTTTTATTCTCAATTTGTTTTCTCTCCCACTTAATTTAAAAATATACTTGGAGGAAAAGATAACTATAATCATCCTTGCTACCTTCCTTCCTTCCTTTCTTCTTCCCTCCTTTCTTTCTTGATGTGGGAGGAATATATAGTGATGAAGAAAAATTACAATGGACAAAGCTAGGCAGGTAAGGATAATCGTATTGAACATTCTTACAATAGATTGAACTCAGCTCCGCTGAGACAAAGGGCTGGAGAGTTTGTAAGAGCTGGAGTGTAGGAAACGTCAGGCTCCTCTGCCTCCTAACTGGCCTTACCTGAAGGAAGAGGAATCTTTTCCCCATCTTCCTGACTAAGGTAAGGTTAAAACTTGGAGCAAAGCGCACATCAAGGTTAGGCTCCTACCATCCCACAGACACTGTGATGGTCACATTTTGAAGGGATGGTTCTTGGGCCCAGAAGCACAGTCCCCCTGGGGTCTGGAACACTGGAAAGTGACTTTAAAGGAAACCTATGTATTTGAAACTAGCAGAGAAAGAGTTTGCGGCTGTAAATTTTCTAAAGTGGATTCCCTAAGAAAGAGAGGTCAGGAAATTTGTCATCAGGAAGAAACCTGTTTAAAGTTTAATCAAGCTGAGGAAAAAAATGTAAGGCTATCTTGGCCAATAGAGGAAGGGAAGTGAATTAGAGAAAAAACAGCTCAAGAAATGGAACAATCAGAACACTTACCCCAGAAGAAGCCAAAGGAGGACAGAATTCCAACATGAAAATAAGGCAGGGTAAGATGCCTCTGAGAGCGAAGGAGAAAAGGTCAGAGAGGTTGTGGTGACCTTGATGCTTCAGTTCAGGCTGATGTTTTACAGACTTTTGTGTGAAGTTCATTATTACACTAATTGTTATAGGATAATAAATATTATAATCTACTTTATATTGAAGATAATCATAGGATAGTCCTTTTTCTCATTAACTGTAACTATTATTTTATATTCAAACTCACATTCCTCTGTGTGTGGGAATAATATTACTATTTTATAGATATAAAAAGACTGGGGCTGATCAGATATACCTGCTGATGTGTGCATTAAATCTCTATTCAGAATAGAAGAAGACAGTGGGTAAAATCATGAAAAACACCTGAGCATTATATTTAAAATATCCAGTATTTTTGCACATTCAGATGTGCTAGTTAGGTGAGATTACATACTTGGTAATATTACTTATTATAGGGTGATGCTTTGGAATTTCACAGACCTTTGAAAACACCAGCAGTTTAGCAATTGATTAATTATGGCAATCCCACAAATAAAGAGGCCTGTCTGGGTGCTGCAAGAACATCCGGGCTCAGTTCTGTGAAGGCACTTATGTCACTGAGCTCTCATTTCCTGTTTACTCCGGGCCTTTCTCAACTGTCTTCAGAGGCTGATACAGGGCTTTCATCTTGCTTATTGCCCCCCTTCCCAGTGCCTGGTTCTTGCACAGGGTTCATGCTCCAAAGTTATTTGCTAAATGAATGAATGAAAGTGGTCATATATCTGGTTTGAAAGTGGAAAAACCAAGGTGTAAGTTGCAGAGATTTAAGGGTAGAACCGGAGGAGATATTTAGGCAGTAATTTCTCTCCG